TCTCTGACGTAATTGACGGCGAGAAAGCGATTTTCCATCTAGGCCATCATGGCGGATCTCTTTAAGACTGAGATAGATAGATACATACAGATTCAGGTTGACAAAACACTCGACACAAGACTGTACGACAAGACTGATGACTTCAAATTTCCGACATACTTTCCCTTTAGGTTTGAGCAATATTCCTGCAGTTCCAGCCTTTGATATCTACATTTCACAACCTTTTGAGACTCCGTGAGCAATCCAGTTAGCTCCAAGACTTTCCATGGATTTCAAAGAATCATACTGCGATATGTGCATAAATGTTACAAAACACCCTATACAAAAGTGTATGACAAGTATGCCTATTTCTAATTTCAAATTCATTATATATTTATTGTTTGATCAAGATTACAACAGTCTAGCCCTCAGCAAAGCTTTCAAGACGTCTAATGGTGGACATGTGGAATGTACTTGGCAATAAGACACATCAGTGACAAAATTGGTGACGGAAGCAATTACCTGGATACTCGACGTACCAGTTGTTTCCGAGAATTCTCAGGAGACAAATTGAATTACTTTTGAATGTGCTCGCCAGAAACGGCATCTGCGGGGCAGGATATAGTCATTCATAAACACATGCTCATGATATAACTCATAAGCGAATCATATATCCGGAAATTCGTTTATCCAGACAATATTTGTTATAAGAGAAGGTCGTCTGTAGTCCAGTCGTATAAGTGATTCTGCTTTTGGAAGAGAAAGCTTTTGAATATAGAAAGGGTTATGGCACTTTTTTCATTACACAGTATCACTATTTTAATTTAAATTTTCGGCTCTCGATTATTCAAGAACACTGAAAACACTAGTAAGAATTACTATTTTTCACCGAATTGGTGCATGGAATCTTTCGGAATTTTACTTGGTCAGCTTATATTTCAAATATGCTATAAGTAGCTATTTTTGTTCCTGCCTCACCCTGAGAGTGTGGGTTTGAATCCTCACCCTAAAAGTACTGGAATCGGTGAAATTGTAATCCCAAGAAAAACATAATAAACTTTCTGAAAGGCATTGTGTAAAAATAATACATTTAATATTATTGTAATTTTATAAAAAGAATGTTCTCAAGTTTTTAAATATTTTCCGATTTAATCTTAAACATTTTCTTCAAGAATCCACTCGAAGAAGTACAGAAACTGGCACGGTTCCTGGAGATTGATTTACCAAATGACGTCTTGGAGGAAATTGTTCTGAAATCTGAATTCAGTAAAATGAAGAGTGTGAAGGATGAAATAACAGAGAAATGGAACGGGAAGCCGGCCCAGTATAGAAAAGGTTTGTTGTCATAGTTCCGTCTGTTAGTGTCATAGTGAGTGAGGGATGTCTAACAATCTGCTGAAGTAGTGAGTGAGTGGGCGAGTGAGTGAGTGAGTGAGTGAGTGAGTGAGTGAGTGAGTGAGTGAGAGTGAGAGAGTGTGGTTTTACGCCGCATTAGCACTATTGCATTTATAACACGGCGGGGGACATCAGAAATGGCTTTCACGCATTGTACCCATGTGGGGAGTCGAACCTGGGTTTTCAGCGTGACGAGAGGACGCTTTAACCATTAGGCTACCTCACCGCCCAATCTGTTAAGTGTGAGGAGTATGATTTAACGCCGCATTAGTACTGGGGACACCAGAAATGGCCTTCACACATTGTATCCATGTGGAGATTCTCATCAGGCGAGTTCTTTGGCGGAACGAGCGATCCATGCTTTAACCCAAAGCTATAAATATCTGTGCAGGTATTGTCGGAGACTAGATCCATATCTGTCTGCAGCCCTGGACTATGTGGAGCTATCCTCTCTGCTATGCGAGTATAAAATAACACTAACTGTGCAGGTATTGTCTTCATATCTGTGCAGGTATTGTCGGAGACTGGAGGAACACATTCACACCATCACAGAAGAAGATGTTCCAGGATCTGTACCGGGAGAGGATGCAGGGATCTAGGTTCCAGGCGCGTTATGAAAATCCTTGAATTCGTTTCATGATTACATGTTAGTGTGTGATTATATATTCAGACTATACATTGTTGTATATTTGTCAACAATAACTTTTACTGAAAACCTAGATCTATGAACATCTGTGCAGCCCATGCTTGTCTATTGACTAACGGTTTCACATAGGCGGATCCAGAAATTTTCAAAGGTTCGAACCCCCTGAACCCCCACCCCAAAAAAACAAAAAATACCACACCTCCCACACTCACCCCCTCTGGATCCGCCACTGGTCTTTCAGGTAGTCGGGCTCGCTGACATGTTTGACAGTAGTTTCGCGTGACGTGCTTGATGTCCACCAAAACACGGTGTTAAACCATGAGTTGGTGGGGGAGAACGCAACACATTCACTTAAAGAACTACATATTCCTTATTCCCAGATAGGATCCGGTGAAATTTGGCAAGGCGCAATTGACGCTGTTACGTGCTCTATGAATAACGTGTGTGTTACGCGATATATAAGGTGGCACACCCGGAGTGTGAGTAAATCAGGTCATTATTCAGCAGTGATATTGCTGGTAAAGGGTGACCCGTGAGTCAAACATATTGTCAATACTTCACGGAGCTGTATGTACTAGTTCGCCCACCACCAGTGAATACCTACGTTCATTATGCAGTACAGAAGTGACATGCGTCTATCATAACATTATGAATTGAAGCTTATCGAGCCCTAACGTTGTGCCTGAACCGTTGACTGACGTTAACGTATCTACTAGGGAATATGTCCTCTCGACTATAGCACATGTTGTGGTTTCCCATTGACTGCTGTAGTAACGTTGTATGTTTTTAATAATAAAGTGAGTGAGTGAGTTTAGTTTTACGCCGCACTCAGCAATATTCCAGCTATATGGCGGCGGTCTGTAAATAATCGAGTCTGGACCAGACAATCCAGTGATCAACTTCATGAGCATCGATCTGCGCAATTGGGAACCGATGACATGTGTCAACCAAGTCAGCGAGCCTGACCACCCGATCCCGTTAGTCGCCTCTTACTTAAAAATAAAGCCCTCAACGGCTATTATATTGACATGTGTACATAGTCTGGCAATAAAACATTACTAACTCAACCAGTTCTTTTTCCGAGTACAGGAACCTAAACAGACGAGCCCTAGTCCTGCACAAAGTATAACCACTTTAAAATATCGTGGTCACATCGAGCAGCACTAAATATTGAAAACATGTTTAAGTTTAAACACTTGACACTGTACTGTAAGTTTAAAGAACACAATATTCTTTCACAAAATTATCCAATCACAGCGGCCAGATGATTCAATCTGCGCTGAAGATTGAATGAAAACTGCTTGTTCAGCGACGTATTCTGATTAGGTGTAGTATAACTCTGAATAGCATATATACTACCGATGTAATCTGATCGCTCATTGGTCAAGAACGAGATCGAGGTTCGATTGGTTTATTAAAGAGACGACGTAACAAAGCGGAAGTATGTATTGGCGGGTGATGGATGGTCCTCCCTATACAAACCATTGAAGTATTAACCGTGGACTAAAGAAGGTTGTCAGTACGGACGGACGACTGGACAGACACAGAGACAAACTGTTAGAATTGGTTTATACGCAATAATAAATATGATTTACATACCCAGAATTCAATCATCCAGATGTAACAGGCCAGCTGACACTGGTGATAAAATACGTTATGTACATAGGCATGTGTAGACAGGTTGAGAGTAAAAAAAGAACATGGATAGCTGCACAATAGGAATACAAAATACGCCTGCTAAACATTTCGTAAGTAAATTCGCAATGCAAGATTTAGATGATGACAAGAATTTAGTAAACATGATTGGGCTATGCTCTGATTTACCGGACACTCTTAAGAAGAGAAGAACTGACAGGCTATCTGCTGTATTTGTTAATTTCGCTTTGTATTTATTCGCTGTCGCCAATAATGATACAAGTTTGAGACATGTTTGAGTATTTTCCGTAGCTTTTCTTCAGTGGAAGCCCTTAAGAATAGTCAGTCCATGAGCGGATCCAGGATTTGGGAGAACGGGGGGTGCACATAAATCATGAAGTCCAAAGGTTAGGGGAAAGTGCTCCTCAGGGATCCTCTGGATCCGCCCCTGTAGTCCACATATAATAATACTGCGATCCAGATATCGTTAACAGTAACGCCTGCATTTAGATCTCTACTTCTTGGACATACAGGGAGAACAGTGATGGCGACAGAGTCCAGCCTTTTCTTACTCCCGTCGTCACTTTGCAGAATGGCGTTAACGGTTCGTTCAATCGCACGGCGCTGATTATATCGTCGTTCATACGTTGATAACCATTAGCCATAGACAGTTTCTGTCACATTGTCGACCGTTTTCCTCAGATCCTAGAAACAGGTAAAGCTGCGTGCTGGTGAGCGTCTAATCTTTATTCGTGTAAACCATAACTGTGTTCAAAGCAGCTCATCTTTTTACGGAATCCATTCTGAATCACCTGTGATATTCTTCGAAAGAAGCCAAGATGGTATTCGAAATTATACAAGTTCAGAATCAGTTCTGCTAGAAACTGACATAAAATATTTTTCCTCTGTAGATGAACGGTTGTAAGTATGTTTCCCCACTTTTACGAATGAAGTTATAATGAACAGCGTCAATGTATTTGGTGGTTCCTTTGATATCCGTAGAGAGAGAAAGTTGATCGCAAGATCTAACGTCTAGTGCAAAACAAAATTCCACTGTAAACAGATGTGAGTGAAATAACGTCCAGGTTTGAATCCCCTGCTTAACATACACACGTTTATAACATTATGAAGTCTATCAATAACGCCTCATGGTGGTTACTGAAGTATTGAGTTTGTTGGTATAGAATTTATTCCTTGTGAAAATCTTCGGTTCTGGATTATGTTCATTTCCTGTGGTCCTATATTCGGTAGGCACCCAGCCGGTTATTGAGTTTGTGTCGGGTGGGTATAGAATGTATTTCATGTGGAAATCTTCGGTTCTGGATAATATTCATTTCTTGTAGTACTATCTGCGGTAGGCACCCACTCGGTTCTTGCAGTTAGGACAGTCATGCACGACGTCTTTGGTGCCGTCCACACAGAACGGTATAAGACAACATCCCGCCCAGCAGCTGAAACAGTTGGATACATGTTATCAAGCCTTTCTAAATAATTATACTACTAACTCTCAGGAATCAAGCTGCTAATCGTCACCCGTCCTAGGACTCTCCGCGCCCCTCGCTGCTTCAAATGATTTGTGATCTGGTATGGGTGTCGTTGTACAAAGCAACCTTAGCGCTACGCCAGTCGTAAGTCTGTGTTATGGTACGGGACTTACGATCACCTTAGCGCTACGCCAGTCGTAAGTCTGTGTTATGGTACGGGACTTACGATCACCTTAGCGCTACGCCAGTCGTAAATCTGTGTTATGGTACGGGAGTTACGATCACCTTAGCGCTACGCCAGTCGTAAGTCTGTGTTATGATACGGGAGTTACGATCACCTTAGCGCTCCGCCAGTCGTAAGTCTGTGTTATGGTACGGGAGTTACGATCACCTTAGCGCTACGCCAGTCGTAAGTCTGTGTTATGGTACGGGAGTTACGATCACCTTAGCGCTATGATCGCTTTGTACAACGGCACCCTGAGCTCTATGCACAGGACCACACACCACCTACTTTATTACTGTTCATATGTGGCAAAATATGTATAACGTCAATATATATAGTTACAAATATTGTGTTCACACAAATTAAAGACAATATGTTTGTTTGTCATTTAACGCAACTTTCAGCACAAATTAATCTCTATGGCGGTGGTCTGTAATAACATCAGTTAGTACAGATAACCAAGGGATTGCTATCAAAAGCATACACCGAGCCTGACCACATGATCGGGTTATTCGCCTCTTGCCATAAGCATGTTTGCTTCTTACGATGAGCATGGTCGCCTCTTACGACAATCAATGTCGCCTCTTTCGATATGCATGATCGCCTCTTACGACAAGCACGTTCGCCTCTTACGACAATCATGGTCGCCTCTTACGACAAGCATGGTCGCCTCTTGTCGTAAGAGGCGACTAACGGGATCGGGTGGTCGGGCTCGCTGACTTGGTTGACACCTGCAATCGTATCCCAATTGCGTATAGATCGATAATTATGATGTTGATCACTGGGTTGTCTGGTCCAGACTCGATTATTTATGGCCTAGCTGGAACATTACTGAATGCGGCGTAAAACTAAACTCACTCACAGTATCATCACTCCTAACGTCGACAATCACGCTTATGCAACGGAATATTCCACTGGATTTGAAAGGCAAAATAGCAGTGAAATATATGTGAACGTATCACTGAAAATCAAACGTTCATCATCATCATCATCATCATCATCATCATCATCGTCATCGTTCGTCACGCTTTAACCACTAGGCCAGCCCATCGACCCTGCCGATTAAGGAACACATATCTGTTCATCTACTTGTGGCGCGGGCGGTAGGTTAGCCCAGTGCTTAGAGCGTTCGCTCGTCACGCCGAAGGCCCGAGTTCGATTCCTTACATGGGTCCAATGTGTGCAGCCCATTTCTGGTGTGCCGTGATATTGCTGGAATATTGCTAAAAGCGGCGTAAAACGCAACCTACTCAATCTCTCCTCGTTATCACATTATTGTTATCATTACCCGAGAAGACAAATGAGACAAGCTGCTGCCCAGGTGCAGGTGCCGATTTCGTGTGTTGTGGAAGTGACGATAAAGGCGTTGCAGTAAGGACAATGTATTTGTGCCGGTCTCTCTCCCAGGCGACCTGTATACGCCATCGAAGACGGCTGGGTCACCACCACGGCTGTAGAACAGTTGGAATGTCGTCAGAACACAAGGAATAAAATGATTAAAACATTGCTTACCAAACTACTATGTCTTTAAACGTGTTAACCAACTAACACTCCTTAGTTAACACGTAACTGACAATGACGAATTTCTTTTTCACTAAACATTTAGCTCGGTAAGAGCATAAAGATACGAAAATATTGTGTCCTCGGCTAAGAAAGTGGAATATGGAATTAACTTGGATACATTTACTAAAGCAAGACGTATTGTTGGGCACTTTATTACGCATGTACGCTAGTACAAATTATCAATTCACGCGAAACCATCTTTTTTTTTTCGTCCGGGCTTTCTGGTTAACGTCATTCAAATTGAAGATACCTTGAAATGAATTAGAAATATCTCGAATACAGATAATTATAGATATCTGCAATAAAATGCATGATATCACTAAAAGGATTTATGATATATGAAGCATATTGATGATATCTATATATAAATTCATGTATTTAATGATATGAGTAATTCAACTTCTGTTATCTTGAAGCTAAATATAGATATCAACACTTGATATGTTCTATCAATATCTCGTCACGCCGAAGACCCGGGTTCGAATCCCCACATGGGTACAATGTGTGAAGCCCATTTCTGGTATCCCCCGCCGTGATGTTACTGGAATATTGCTAAAAGCGGCGTAAAACCAAACTCAGTCAGTGAGTCTATCCATATCATTTATTGATATGTGATATAGGTTGGCACCCCTTGTAAATGAAATAGTCGGTCGCGTACGTCATTAAAATCACACCAAATCACAAATATACGTTATAGGTACAGTTACAGCGTGTCACATGACCCGAGGACCATATTTCCTCTAATAAGCGCCGTGGCGCTTAAAGTTTCAACGGAATAGGGGAGATTCTCCACTGGCATTTTATTTGAAAACTCCATTGCAAACATGTGGCACACCCGGCGCTAACTGGAGACCAGGCGTTTATTTCTTGAACAGTTGCTTTACCCCCGGCGCTTATTGGAGGTCGGCGGAAGAAATACTGTTACTTGTAGCATTACGCTCCCTTATACTTACTTGTCCGTGCGTTCGACGGTTGAACGGGGTAGTACCCGCGCTGTGGGTATGCTTGCTGGCCAATGGGATATGACGGTGGGGCCGGTGGGTATGTCGGTTGGGCAGGTGGGTATGCAGGCTGGGAAGGTGGGTACGCTGGTTGGGACGGTGGGTATGCCGGTTGGGCTGGGGTGTAAGCGCCTGTTTGCGGCTGGGAGGCAACGTCCCAGTAGGGAGGGGGTGGATCCTCCGGCGGGGCATTGGGTGATGCCATGTTTGTTTAAGATGCAGTTATCTGTAAAGAACGCATGTTATAAACATGAATAATAGTATTTAGATATAAAAATTGATGATATATCTGCTCTAAATTTACTACTACTACTACTACTACTACTACTACTACTACTACTACTACTACTACTACTACTACTACTACTACTACTACTACTACTACTACTACTACTACTACTACTACTACTACTACTACTACTACTACAACTACTACTACTGATCCCCAGGGAGTTGAGATTGATAATACGATGTGCCGTTGAGTTTGACATCCAATGATCGAGGGGGAAAAATACCAGCGCCTTGAGCATGTACTAGTTACGTGGATATGTGCGCTATATAAAACCTATAATAGTAGTAGTAGTAGAATTCGTAGTAGTAGTAGCAGCGATAGTAGTAGTAGTAGTAGTAGTAGTAGTAGTAGTAGTAGTGAAGATCCGGGTCTTAAGGGGCGACTAACGGGATCGGGTTGTCAGGCTGTCACATGCGATCCCAATTGCGATCGATGTTCATGCTGTTGATCACTGGATTATCTAGTTCAGACTCGATTATTTACAGACCGCTACCATATAGCTGGAATATTGCTGAGTGAGGCGTTAAATAACAAAATAAACGAAACGAAAAGTACTACATTGCAACACTACTTAGTGATGTTCTATCACCGTAATGCTGAGTACCAATGGGTTAGCAATAAGTACCATATTTTGGTATGATGGAGCCGCTGTGCACATATTTTTTGTATTTTCTCTGAAAGAAGAAGACAAGCGTTTGTTTACTGGAATCAAATCAAAATAAGGGAAATTGTCAAAAGGTTTAACTTCAAATATGTCGATGATTTGATATGGTTCAACAATAGTCACTTACATTCCACTGATATTTACACTTATGCTATAGACAAGGGAAACTTCACCATTTATTTAATATAATTAGTTATGTGCACAAAGATTCCGAGTAACCAAATATACACAAAGAACTTAGTTAAGCACCCCCTAACATGTCTCATGATTGAATGAACCCCGGTCTTAACCCTTTGGAGCATATCTGGGACATGACTGGACGTCTTGTGCAGCAAAGGAATTCTCCTTACAGAATCAGGGCCCAATTGGAAGCTGTTTTACACGAGGAATGGCGTAGACTGCCCCTTCAGAGAATCAGGAGCCTGACAGGGGGTATGAGGAGGAGGGTGCTGGCTGTCATACAGTCACGTGGAGGTTACACTCGGTATTGACCCTGTATCGTGTAAAACACGCAAAGTGACATTTTGAATGTTCACATTCACCATTAAACATTCACATTAAACATATCAGGGCCGTACTTGTACAGACATGGTTTTGTATGAAAATTAGTGTTTATTTTAAAATGAGTAATTATCATCATAAAATCAACATGGATTCCAATCAATTTGTCTTTTGTTTAGGAGTCAAAGCATCATACGGGTGAGAGAAATTCATGTTTTTCCATCGTGGTCACCACGAAACGTTTCATATTCGTGTTAAAAAACTTTCATTGCAAAAATTCAGTAGGGGGATTAATTAGGTTCTTTGTGTATATATATGTGTGACACGACTTATGCATACCTTTTCAACAGTCAACTTTCTTATATTGAGCGGTATTCCAAACTTTAGAGTCGACATCTCACAACCTTTGAGGGGCAATCGAGCATGACCTTTCTACAGAAATTTAAAAGCACGTCAAACGATTCAATAGTTGTTTCCCCGGGGTCACATTATTCAAGACCTCAGTAAAAATTGCGAAATGTTTATCATATATGACTATGAATTACATACATCAAACAAATTACTAAAGAAGAATATTTCAACATACCACCTCAGGTCTTGTCCACGTACGACACTACGGCGTCATTAGACGACATCAGCACAGGCAAGAAGCCAAGTGTAGCCTAGTGAAGACTAGCGTACACACAAGACTCAGACGTCTGACGTCACAGGCGTTCTATTGACAAACCGGCCGATCGATAGAGGCCAATTCAATCGGTCTAAAATTAGAACAGTATCATACATTGAGAGTCCGGTACACATAGGACTCACGCGTGTGGCAATACTTGTATTTGTAAATAAAAGGTCAGGAATTGTTCAAGATCAGTTCATGGACGGTGTACGTCAACCCCTCTGATATGTATTTAATACCACGGCGTTGACAATACCCAAAGAAAACGTGGTTGTGTTCACTGTACCGCAGTATGGGTATCGAGGGACAATTCCTGTCCCTTTCACTGATTTAACCACTTTGGTTGGAGACCAAGATACCAGTGACATCACGTCATCTGTATTTCAGTTTGTATGCATTACCATTCAGGGTGACGAAATGATGTTACCACAACTGCCACGAAGTATGAACTTACCAACAATCAACTTTCCTTTTATGTCGAACAATACCGCAACAGCTCCTGAATTTTGTGTCGACGTATAACATGAGGTTCAATCGAGCATGGTCTTTCTACGAAAATTTCAAAGAGCGTCAAACAATTCAAAACTGTTTGAACAGGGTAATAATATCCAAGGCCACAGTAAACCTTGCAAGCGTTTTTATGGTACACACGTGGAAGACATTTTCAAATGACAAAACTGATGGGCTATGCAATTCCTGATTTAGACTCATTATTCCAGCTTTTGACGGCAATGTGATAACAGTTGAGTCTGACCTAGAATATTCACTGTTGGAAAACACGAGAGTGATTGAGTGAGTTCTGGTTTACGCCGTTTTAGCAATATTCAAGCAATATCACGGCGGGAGACACCACAAATGGGCTTCACAAACTGTGCCCTTGTGGGGAATCAAACACGAGTTTTCGGCGTGACGAGCGAACACTTTAACCACTAGGCTACCCCATCGCCCCTAAAACATGAGAATCGACTTGGATACCATATTGTTAAGACTTGCAATCAACAAAACTTCCCCTGACAGAATCAACACACTGATCCATACAATGACCTCTTACGACAAGCACAGGTTTCTGGGTCCGATATTTGCTGCCATTAACCCCTATGGATCGTCGGTGACAGGAGAAATGCTGATTTTGTACAGCATTTCTATACTATATAGGTAAGTATGCATTGATGTCTACCCAGAGAGCTCAAGGTCGGTGTTCGGATCCCGATCGCAGCATCGCAAAGTAGGTTAACAAATGGTACGTGTTGTCACCCTGCCTGGTACTCAGCATAAAGGAAATAAAACAAGGACTGGTTCGTATAGGAGTGAGTACCCATGTTAATGTAGGCAAGTGCGCACAAACCAGCATAAGTGAGAATAAGCAGTCGCACACACACGTGAATGCGATTCCCTGTAAATGCGAAAAATACACCAAATCAACTCCTTCTTAAGACCTCACTAGGCCATTGTAAATATCATTACTCGCCTCGAACATATCATTACAATCTTGCCGTAGAACTACTGAGAAATCACAATCAATGCATTGATTTTAATATGTCGTTAGATCCTTGTCCATTTCATATAATAGGCAATGCTATGAAGACACAGACATGTCGATGCATCAGACGGATTTTGATCACTTAATGGAAAATACACTTCCACAATATAAAAACAATACATCTTTATAACACAGGTTTACTATCCCCGGGCTTGGTTATACAATTATGTGATGTTATCATTCATGCAGTCTGGAACCCGTGAATGTCCGGGTTAGAATATTGATCTTCAGTAACCCGTGAAGGTTCTGGTTAGAATATTGATCTTCAGTAACCCGTGAAGGTCCGGGTTAGAATATTGATCTGATCTTCAGTAACCCATGAAGGTCCGGGTTAGAATATTGATCTTCAGTAACCCATGCTTGTCTCCACCCGTGAAGGTCCGGGTTAGAATATTGATCTTCAGTAACCCGTGAAGGTCCGGGTTAGAATATTGATCAGGTATTGATTGGCATGGTATCTCAGTGGGCTAGCACTATAAAACCAGCTTAAGTCTTGGCTAGTACAAGCAGCCGCACATACGCATGCACGTCGTCATATGAGCGAAATATTCTCAAGCACGACGTAAAACCCAATTTCACCTCACCTCACCTCTTCGCAGATTACGTAACTGTCTCTCCGAACAGGTACACCGTTATTTCGGGGTAGAATAACACCCCAGGCCATATCTTGGTAGAGCTCCACACCAATATCGGGGTAGAGTTACCCCTCTATCTCGGGGTAGTATAATACCCCATTTCATAGTTACGTCACCATCTGTTACACTGTCATTTCGGGGTAGTATAATATCCCATATCTTGCAACAGTTACGTCACAATCTTTTACACTGGTTCTTCGGGGTAGAATAACGCCCCTTATCTTGGTAGAGCTCCACACTTATCTCGGGGTACAGTTACCCCTCTATTTCGGGGTAGTATAATGCCCAATTTCTATGCAGATTACGTCACTGTCCGGCCGAACAGGTACACTGTTATTTTGGTGTAGGAATAACACCCCATATCTCGTCAGAGTTACGTCACTATCTCGGCGTAGAGTTATGCCTTCCTTTAAGGAGTTACGCCTCTGTTTAAGGTAAGAGGTGCGTCAATATTTTGGCGGTGTCCTCCCACTTCAACTAATGTTTACCCGTTAGGTACGGAAAATCAATTAGGTGATGTGGGTATGTCATGCCTGGTTGATTAATCAGGATTAGGTGAAGTGGGTACCAAGTGGGTATGGGAGAGTCCATATATTGTCATCAGAGGGGGTTTAGCAACCATGTGGAGTAAAAGAATGACAAAACTCAGTGATAGAATTAATGAATATATTTTATATATCTTATATATATTTTATATATTTAGTTGATAAATTAACATTTTATTATACATACATGTATGTATGACATGCTCAGTGATAAGTTAATACATGTTATACGTGTATATACATCATCACAAGTTAATTACTCAAAATACACCACCATCGGAGGTACATGCGTATAACAAAGGAGTACATACAAAATGTACAACAACATGACTAAATGATACATCAATTAAAGTGTTTACAAACAATCTTAATGAACCTGGAGACATTTTTAAGGGTACATATTTTACTTGAAAAAAGTTGACGGAACTTTGACAAATTTGGTCAGGAACTATAAGGTTCTTTAAACAACGATTTACGTATGTCCGCAAAATAATTACATTTAAACAAATAGTGAAACTCCTCTCCAGTCAAATGTGAATCACATAAGTTACAAAATCTGTGTTCTTTTGGGTATTTTGCCATCTCCCAGTTTCTATGGGAAGTTTATGGTTGCATTTCTAAATTTTAGGATCGGTTTAGAAATATCATCTGAGAGAAGTAGGTATTGTTCAAATTTGGAGAGCGCTTCAGAACTTAATAATATATTCCTTTAAAGGAATTTTGCATGTCGCTAGTCCATGATTGTAAAATGGGGTCTTTTAAAATTGATTCAACATTTGAAATGATACATGAATTTAAGTAAACATGAGGGTTGTTGAAAACATCAGGCAATCAGCACTTACAGAGGATATGTTTAATATGACTTAGCCAGACAGTTATTTGTTGTTTTGTTTTGTTTAGTAATATATCGTTACTAGTTATCTATCTATGAAGCCGGGTCCATAGGATTTCCTGTTTTCTTATAAATAGATTTAATAGTACCAGTAAGCCATGCTTCAGGCAAAATTCCAGTCTCAAGTACAGCGTTAAAATATTCAACAAAAAGGTAGCAGTTTTGGTAAGGCTGAATTAATGGAGAACGGGGAGAAGGACACCCCCACTTGGGAACTTAGCCTGCTCCAGTAAGACGCCACGGTTCAGTAGTTACAGACATTAGGCGTTCTGGGCTCTCTGCTAATTAGGTGATGTGGAGAAGGTTAGGCAGGACAATTAGGTGATGTGGGTATACTCCATCTTGGGTAAAGTTAATCCACTTCGCTGACTGACTACTTCCGGTGACATCCGATCTGGTTCTTGCAATTAGGACACGTGTGGATGACGTCTTTGGTTTTGTTGATCCACAGCGGAATCAGGAAACAACCCAAAATGCCGCTGAAAATATGGAAATAATTTGATTAAGTACGCACGACAAGTTCGCGGTTCCTCATTTTCGGCTAAGTCGTCACATCACCAGCAAAAACGCCGTAGAAACATTATTGGAATTAATGGGCAGAATGTGTATCCATGGCCCCGTTTCACAAAATGATCGTAACCCACAGACGATCGTAAATCCATATAGTTTAACATAGACTTACGACATTCGCAGCGCTGAGACGATCGTAACTCCATATAGTTTAACATAGACTTACGACATTCGCAGCGCTGAGACGATCGTAACTCCATATAGTTTAACATAGACTTACGACATTCGCAGCGCTGAGACGATCGTAACTCCATATAGTTTAACATAGACTTACGACATTCGCAGCGCTGAGATGATCGTAACTCCATATAGTTTAACATAGACTTACGACATTCGCAGCGCTGAGACGATCGTAGCTCCATATAGTTTAACATAGACTTACGAATCGTAACTCCATATAGTTTAACATAGACTTACGACATTCGCAGCGCTGAGACGATCGTAACTCCATATAGTTTAACATAGACTTACGACATTCGCAGCGCTGAGACGATCGTAAATCCATATAGTTTAACATAGACTTACGACATTCGCAGCGCTGAGACGATCGTAACTCCATATAGTTTAACATAGACTTTGCCATATAGTCGTAACTCCATATAGTTTAACAAAGACTTACGACATTCGCAGCGCTACGATCGCTTTCTGGAACGAGGCTAGTATGGCAAGCTTGTCATAATAACCGATTGTTGTGGATCAGCGTTCTTATATTGAGCGTCAGGCAGGGAAACAACAAGTACCATCTTCTACCGTCGCTTGGTATGATGGATGGTAAGCACCAATGAGTATACACGAGGACTGGTAAAATCAGCCTTTAGCAAGCATGATAAATGCGCCCTTACCCATGTATCCACGAGCATCGAAAAATGAGCCGAACTCCAGCATATACAAGTCGTAATTAATGCGGTCTTACAGAAGAATCTGCAAGCATTGATAAGGTCACCCTTATACAAGTATCTAAGATTACTGATAAAAGGCCTTACCCAAGTAGCTACGGGTATTGATAAAAAAAAGCCTTACCCAAGTATATAAGATTACTGATAAAAAGGCTTTACCCAAGTATCTACGATTACTAATAAAAAGGCCTTACCCAAGTATATAAGATTACTGATAAAAAGGCTTTACCCAAGTATCTACGATTACTAATAAAAAGGCTTTACCAAAGTATCTAAGAGTACTAATAAAAAGGCTTTACCCAAGTATCTAAGATTACTAATAAAAATGCTTTACCCAAGTATCTACGAGTACCAATAAAAAGGCTTCACCCAAGTATCTAAGATTACTAATGAAAAGGTTTTACCCAAGTATCTAAGATTACTAATAAAAAGGCTTTACCCAAGTATCTAAGATTACTAATAAAAATGCTTTACCCAAGTATCTACGAGTACCAATAAAAAGGCTTCACCCAAGTATCTAAGATTACTAATGAAAAGGTTTTACACAAGTATCTAAGATTACTAATAAAAAGGCTTTACCCAAGTGTCTAAGATTACTAATAAAAAGGCTCTACCCAAGTATATAAGATTACTAATAAAAAGGCTTTACCCAAGTATCTAAGAATACTAATAAAAAGGCTTTACCCAAGTATCTAAGAATACTAATAAAAAGGCTTTACCCAAGTATCTACGAGTACTAATAAAAAGGCCTTACCCAAGTATCTAAGATTACTAATAAAAAGGCTTTACCCAAGTATCTAAGAGTACTAATAAAAAGGCTTTACCCAAGTATCTAAGATTACTAATAAAAAGGCCTTACCCAAGTATCTACGAGTACTAATAAAAAGGCCTTACCCAAGTATCTACGAGTACTGGATAAAACAGGCCTTACCCAAGGATCTACGATAAAAGATAAAAGCAAGCCTTACCCAAGTATCTACGAGTATTGATCTAAAAGGCCTTACCCAAGTATCTACGATTATTGATAAAAAAGGCCTTACCCAAGTATCTACGGGTATTGATAAAAAAGGCCTTACCCAAGTATCTACGATTACTGATAAAAACAAGCCTTACCCAAGTAGCTACGAGTATTGATAAAAAAGGCCTTACCCAAGTAGCTACGAGTATTGATAAAAAAAAGTCTTACCCAAGTATCTACGAGTACTAATAAAAAGGCCTTACCCAAGTAGCTACGAGTACTGGATAAAACAGGCCTTACCCAAGTATCTACGATTACTGATAAAAACAAGCCTTACCCAAGTAGCTACGAGTATTGATAAAACAGGCCTTACCCAAGTATCTACGGGTATTGATAGAAAGGCCTTACCCAAGTATCTACGAGTACTTATAAAAAGGCCTTACCCAAGTATCTACGGGTATTGATAAAAAAGGCCTTACCCAAGTAGCTACGATTACTGATAAAAACAAGCCTTCCCTAAGTAGCTACGAGTATTGATAAAAAAGGCCTTACCCAAGTAGCTACGAGTATTGATAAAAAAGGCCTTACCCAAGTATCTACGAGTATTGATAAAAAAGGCCTTACCCAAGTAGCTACGATTACTGATAAAAACAAGCCTTACCCAAGTAGCTACGAGTTTTGATAAAACAGGCCTTACCCAAGTATCTACGGGTATTGATAGAAAGGCCTTACCCAAGTATCTACGAGTACTATAAAAGGCTCCACCCAAGTATCTACATTGATAAAAAGGCCTTACCCAAGTAGCTACGAGTATTGATAAAAGTCCTTACCAAGTATGTATGAGTACAGGCCTTACCCAGTACTGATAAAAAAACAGGCAGGCCTATGAGTACTGGATAAAAACAGGCCTTACCTAAGTATCTACGAGTACTGGATAAAAACAGGCCTTACCCAAGCATGAAAATTAAAAGCATACACAGACAGGTGCACATGCCAAACTTGTATCTTGTAGACGTCATGACGTCGGTGTGGCAGTAGTAGCACCGCATCGACACCGGCGCCTCACCCATCCGCATCAGGCACAGCGGCTTAGGGGGGTTGTCATTAGTCATCAAAATACCTGGAGAACAGAGATGACAAAACTTTATAGATGATCAACTTCTTTATTTCACAATGGCGACGTTTCGGTATAGATTCTTATACCGTTTTCAAGCATCAAATCCTGAAGAACAGTGGTCAGTGTATTGCAACAGTGATTACGTACGGATCATTTAATACTTTTGGATGGAAGTATGGGTTACACCATCCGGCATGTCTTAGGATATACCGTTTGAAAACGAAGACTGGTCGTGTAATCACAAATACACTTTTTTTCAAATTTTAACAAATTTTGTTTTTAATAAATCTAACAATTCCATCTCCACCCTCCCACTATTCACTGCCAGAGAACACCAACATGTCGGCGCCGAAATCATAATCAGATAACAGAGAAAGAGTCAGTGATAATTATTATGATGATAATTCCTTAACGGCAGTGTCCCCATCATAAACTTTCCCTTCATCGATATTTTTCGTAAACGTATCCAAGTTTGTATTTATCAAAGCATTGGACAAGCGCATAATCAAGTATTCCAGTTTTTCAGATCACTGGATCTCAGTTTTAATATTGATGAAAGCATGCCAAAATACGTCTCCGTCGGACAATCCAATATATGATCATATGTTGCAATACTAATTTGGACCAGGTTATTGTGGCTTGTGGATTTTCACGAGCATCTGAGATCTTCATCATTTGTATTTTGTTCCAACATTACATGTAGGTTACAAGGTATTTTCTTCTATATCAGCTGGGGAACAGTATTGGACTTAAGGGTTTTAAATGACACTAAGTGACAATCGAAATATAGTAATCTCCATGAAAACATTGTTATCAAGACCCAAAGCTGATAAACTATTTCAAAAGCATAATGCAGATGGATATTGGATTCGCATTTTCCTTTCGCGAACACCTGGTGTCTTCACTTTTTGGTAGTGATTCAAAAACACCTGCTCATGATCGGAATTGCAAATCGATCCGTCTTTTAGTGGAGGTTTCTTATGGATGTGGAAAGACTTTTGCCGCCCACTTTTCCATCTACTCATACCAAACCCACAGTGGCCGTGTGACTATATACAGTTGGGCTAATTACTTACCTGGCATCATAGGGATGAAACCCCCTGCCTGAGAGGGATGTACAGAGTTGTGACCAGCTGGAGGTGGGTTGGCGGGATTTCCGTAGGTCATTGGAGCCCCGTAGGTTGCTTGAGATGGATTTGTGGGATTTCCGTAAGACACTGGAGCCCCGTAGGATGCTTGAGATGGGTTGGCGGGATCTCCGTAGGCCATGCCTGACGCCATGTTTGTTTAAAACGTCGTTACCTGTCAAGTGAATCAAAAGAATTATCTATCCTATAATTGTGTAGTCCAGTGTAATCCATACAATAAATTCTTCTTCATCTTCTTCTTCTTCTTCTCCTGGGGCGGTGGGATAGCCAAGTGGTTAAAGCTTTCACTCATCACGCCGAAGACCCGGGTTCGATTCCCAACATGGGCACAATGTGTGAAGCCCGCTTCTGGTGTCCCCCGCCGTGATATTGCTGGGATATTGCTAAAAGCAGCGTAAAACTAAACTCACTCACTCACTGACACTCTTCTTCCGCTACTACTGCTACTACCACTACTACCACCACTACTTCTATAACTGCTTCTTCTCCTTTCATTACAATTATGCACAATACCTTTGTTTCTACTGGAATTATATATACTTAGTTATTAAATCAGCTGTAACTGCCGCTATAGCTATTACCACTATAGTTACACTCATGTCTAATACTAGCGCTACCACTATGTCCACTATAAGGTCTGTTCCTCCTGTTGTAACTACACGTTACGTGATACTATTGCTACCACTATGTCCACTATAAGGTCTGTTCCTCCTGCTGTAACTACACGTTACGTGATACTATTGCTACCACTATGTCCACTATAAGGTCTGTTCCTCCTGCTGTAACTACACGTTACGTGATACTATTGCTGCCACTATGTCCACTATAAGGTCTGTTCCTCCTGCTGTAACTACACGTTACGTGATACTATTGCTACCACTATGTCCACTATAAGGTCTGTTCCTCCTGCTGTAACTACACGTTACATGATACTATTGCTGCCACTATGTCCACTATAAGGTCTGTTCCTCCTGCTGTAACTACACGTTACGTGATACTATTGCTACCACTATGTCCACTATAAGGTCTGTTCCTCCTGCTGTAACTACACGTTACGTGATACTATTGCTACCACTATGTCCACTATAAGGTCTGTTCCTCCTGCTGTAACTACACGTTACGTGATACTATTGCTGCCACTATGTCCACTATAAGGTCTGTTCCTCCTGCTGTAACTACACGTTACGTGATACTATTGCTACCACTATGTCCACTATAAGGTCTGTTCCTCCTGCTGTAACTACACGTTACGTGATACTATTGCTACCACTATGTCCACTATAAGGTCTGTTCCTCCTGCTGTAACTACACGTTACATGATACTATTGCTATTGCTATGTCCACTATAAGGTCCACTAACTAAGGTCTGTTCCTCCTGCTGTAACCTCCTGTACAACTACACGTTACGTGATACTATTGCTACCACTATGTCCACTATAAGGTCTGTTCCTCCTGTTGTAACTACACGTTACGTGATACTATTGCTACCACTATGTCCACTATAAGGTCTGTTCCTCCTGCTGTAACTACACGTTACGTGATACTATTGCTACCACTATGTCCACTAATAGGTCTGTTCCTCCTGTTGTAACTACACGTTACGTGATACTATTGCTACCACTATGTCCACTATAAGGTCTGTTCCTCCTGTTGTAACTACACGTTACGTGATACTATTGCTACCACTATGTCCACTATAAGGTCTGTTCCTCCTGTTGTAACTACACGTTACGTGATACTATTGCTACCACTATGTCCACTATAAGGTCTGTTCCTCCTGTTGTAACTACACGTTACGTGATACTATTGCTACCACTATGTCCACTATAAGGTCTGTTCCTCCTGCTGTAACTACACGTTACGTGATACTATTGCTACCACTATGTCCACTATAAGGTCTGTTCCTCCTGCTGTAACTACACGTTACATGATACTATTGCTACCACTATGTCCACTATAAGGTCTGTTCCTCCTGCTGTAACTACACGTTACGTGATACTATTGCTACCACTGTGTCCACTATAGGGTCTGTTCTTCCTGTTGTAACAACACGTTACGTGATGCTATTGCTACCACTATGTCCACTATTAGGTCTGTTCCTCCTGTTGTAACTACACGTTACGTGATGCTATTGCTACCACTATGTCCACTATAAGGTCTGTTCCTCCTGCTGTAACTACACGTTACGTGATACTATTGCTACCACTATGTCCACTATAAGGTCTGTTCCTCCTGTTGTAACTACACGTTACGTGATACTATTGCTACCACTATGTCCACTATAAGGTCTGTTCCTCCTGCTGTAACTACACGTTACGTGATACTATTGCTACCACTATGTCCACTATAAGGTCTGTTCCTCCTGCTGTAACTACACGTTACGTGATACTATTGCTACCACTATGTCCACTATAAGGTCTGTTCCTCCTGCTGTAACTACACGTTACGTGATACTATTGCTACCACTATGTCCACTATAAGGTCTGTTCCTCCTGCTGTAACTACACGTTACGTGATACTATTGCTACCACTATGTCTGTTCCTCCTGCTGTAACTACACGTTACGTGATACTATTGCTACCACTATGTCCACTATAAGGTCTGTTCCTCCTGCTGTAACTACACGTTACGTGATACTATTGCTACCACTATGTCCACTATAAGGTCTGTTCCTCCTGCTGTAACTACACGTTACGTGATACTATTGCTACCACTATGTCCACTATAAGGTCTGTTCCTCCTGCTGTAACTACACGTTACGTGATACTATTGCTACCACTATGTCCACTATAAGGTCTGTTCCTCCTGCCGTAACTACACGTTACGTGATACTATTGCTACCACTATGTCCACTATAAGGTCTGTTCCTCCTGCTGTAACTACACGTTACGTGATACTATTGCTACCACTATGTCCACTATAAGGTCTGTTCCTCCTGCTGTAACTACACGTTACGTGATACTATTGCTACCACTATGTCCACTATAAGGTCTGTTCCTCCTGCTGTAACTACACGTTACGTGATACTATTGCTACCACTATGTCCACTATAAGGTCTGTTCCTCCTGCTGTAACTACACGTTACGTGATACTATTGCTACCACTATGTCCACTATAAGGTCTGTTCCTCCTGCTGTAACTACACGTTACGTGATACTATTGCTACCACTATGTCCACTATAAGGTCTGTTCCTCCTGCTGTAACTACACGTTACGTGATACTATTGCTACCACTATGTCCACTATAAGGTCTGTTCCTCCTGCTGTAACTACACGTTACGTGATACTATTGCTACCACTATGTCCACTATAAGGTCTGTTCCTCCTGTTGTAACTACACGTTACGTGATACTATTGCTACCACTATGTCCACTATAAGGTCTGTTCCTCCTGCTGTAACTACACGTTACGTGATACTATTGCTACCACTATGTCCACTATAAGGTCTGTTCCTCCTGCTGTAACTACACGTTACGTGATACTATTGCTACCACTATGTCCACTATAAGGTCTGTTCCTCCTGCTGTAACTACACGTTACGTGATACTATTGCTACCACTATGTCCACTATAAGGTCTGTTCCTCCTGCTGTAACTACACGTTACGTGATACTATTGCTACCACTATGTCCACTATAAGGTCTGTTCCTCCTGTTGTAACTACACGTTACGCGATACTATTGCTACCACTATGTCCACTATAAGGTCTGTTCCTCCTGTTGTAACTACACGTTACGTGATACTATTGCTACCACTATGTCCACTATAAGGTCTGTTCCTCCTGTTGTAACTACACGTTACGTGATACTATTGCTACCACTATGTCCACTATAAGGTCTGTTCCTCCTGTTGTAACTACACGTTACGTGATACTATTGCTACCACTATGTCCACTATAAGGTCTGTTCCTCCTGCTGTAACTACACGTTACGTGATACTATTGCTACCACTATGTCCACTATAAGGTCTGTTCCTCCTGCTGTAACTACACGTTACGTGATACTATTGCTACCACTATGTCCACTATAAGGTCTGTTCCTCCTGCTGTAACTACACGTTACGTGATACTATTGCTACCACTATGTCCACTATAAGGTCTGTTCCTCCTGCTGTAACTACACGTTACGTGATACTATTGCTACCACTATGTCCACTATAAGGTCTGTTCCTCCTGCTGTAACTACACGTTACGTGATACTATTGCTACCACTATGTCCACTATAAGGTCTGTTCCTCCTGCTGTAACTACACGTTACGTGATACTATTGCTACCACTATGTCCACTATAAGGTCTGTTCCTCCTGTTGTAACTACACGTTACGTGATACTATTGCTACCACTATGTCCACTATAAGGTCTGTTCCTCCTGTTGTAACTACACGTTACGTGATACTATTGCTACCACTATGTCCACTATAAGGTCTGTTCCTCCTGCTGTAACTACACGTTACGTGATACTATTGCTACCACTATGTCCACTATAAGGTCTGTTCCTCCTGCTGTAACTACACGTTACGTGATACTATTGCTACCACTATGTCCACTATAAGGTCTGTTCCTCCTGCTGTAACTACACGTTACGTGATACTATTGCTACCACTATGTCCACTATAAGGTCTGTTCCTCCTGTTGTAACTACACGTTACGTGATACTATTGCTGCCACTATGTCCACTATAAGGTCTGTTCCTCCTGCTGTAACTACACGTTACGTGATACTATTGCTACCACTATGTCCACTATAAGGTCTGTTCCTCCTGCTGTAACTACACGTTACGTGATACTATTGCTACCACTATGTCCACTATAAGGTCTGTTCCTCCTGCTGTAACTACACGTTACGTGATACTATTGCTACCACTATGTCCACTATAAGGTCTGTTCCTCCTGCTGTAACTACACGTTACGTGATACTATTGCTACCACTATGTCCACTATAAGGTCTGTTCCTCCTGCTGTAACTACACGTTACGTGATACTATTGCTACCACTATGTCCACTATAAGGTCTGTTCCTCCTGCTGTAACTACACGTTACGTGATACTATTGCTACCACTATGTCCACTATAAGGTCTGTTCCTCCTGCTGTAACTACACGTTACGTGATACTATTGCTACCACTATGTCCACTATAAGGTCTGTTCCTCCTGCTGTAACTACACGTTACGTGATACTATTGCTACCACTATGTCCACTATAAGGTCTGTTCCTCCTGCTGTAACTACACGTTACGTGATACTATTGCTACCACTATGTCCACTATAAGGTCTGTTCCTCCTGCTGTAACTACACACGTTACGTGATA